CTGCTTATCTAAGTGCAGTAGAGGCATCTACTTGATTTACATTGTAAGAATTCAATCGCTTTTCATTGGCTACAAGTGATCAGTTTCACCATAAAATCTTAAATTACGACTAAAGTTGATCGTAAGTATACTGAATTGTTCATGACTAACGATCAACTCTAGTCGTAGATTTTTTGTGAAACTGACTAAAGGCATTGAATTTTTGTTCTTTTCATTAGACAATAAATGTGTTTATTCTTTTGATTTTTAAAAATGTAACAAGAAATGATACTTTATAGATAAAGCTTGGCTGCTTGGAAGTTACAACAAATGCAACCAAAAGTTTAGTTCTAAGTTCGGTGACAATGGTGACCTACATTCCTTTGTCGGGATTAAGCGTCTTGTTTGTTCCTTTATCTTACTCTCTCTGCTTAATTCTAATGTATTAAATGCATATTTATATTTGGTGTTTCATTCCTACGATGTACTACACAAACCACATCGTTTTCAGTAAAGATTTATATGAGATAAAGAATTTATAAGTGAAACTGGTTTCCTCGTTATGTAAGTTAGACGAGGCTACCACACTAAAACACTACGTTATGTAAGTTAGACGAGTTCACCACAATAGAACATACTACAATTGCACAGTTAGACGAGTCCACCACAATAGAACACACTACAATTGCACATTTAATTATATCAATGATGCATCCAGATGCCCATTAAACTCTATTCATTTAATCATGACGATAATTTATTGATACTCTTAGCACCAAGTTGAATACAAATATTTCTTAATGATGTCTTCTGAAAGACATAAATTGTCATAGGAAGCGAATACGGAAGTGAATTGTTCATTTACTGTGAAATTAAGACAGTTTTTCACCATTATAATTCTAACTTCGCTTGAAAGTGAAACAGTTACATCATTCAAGGAAGGACGCATGACTAATATCTCCATTTTATTGGGCGTCATATAAAGAATAGGATACCAGATGATCACGAGGGATACTCGCCATACGTAAAATACTTTTTATCAAACGATCATGTAACATGCTCGACGAATAATAAACATTAAATCATATGGTCATTGGAGAGCTCACGACAAACTCATTGGAAAACTCATGGCAAACATGCTACCAGACGGTCATTGTAGAACCCGTTACAAACATGATTTCACATTGTCGATGGAGGGCACATGACAAACATGCTACCAGATGACTATTTGAGAACATGTGACAAACATGATACCGATAATCAAGGGAGAACACGTGATAAACTTGAAACCAGATAATCATTGAAGAACACGTGATAAACATGAAACCAGATGATAATCGGAGGGCACATGACAAACATGATATCAGAGTACCATTTGAAAACACGTGACAAAAATGGCATCAGATGATCATAGGAGAGCAAGTGACAAATATTATACCAGATTATCATTGGATTTCAGGTGACAAACTTGATGTCAAATAATCAATTGAAGGCGCGTTAGAATAAAGATATCAGATGATCATTAGAGAACGCACGAAAAACAAGATATTAGGCAATCATTAGAGGTCTCATGACAAACATGTCTTGATATCAGATTATCAATGGAGGATGAAAAACATGACTAATAAATGACAATGTTCATTTAGATCTTAACATTATCTGAAAAGTCTAAAACTAAAAAAGTTAAGTGTTGTTTATACTTGAGACCATCAAAGTATCAGCTGATCATTGGAGGACTCAGGACAATTTATTATTGGAAGATGACCAACATGAAAATGCACATGGTATCAGCTGATTATTGGAGAATGACCAACATGAAAATGCACATGGTATCAGCTGATTATTGGAGAATGACCAAAATGAAAATGCACATGGTATCAGCTGATTATTGGAGAATGACCAACATGAAAATGCACATGGTATCAGCTGATTATTGGAGAATGACCAACATGAAAATGCACAAGGTATCAGCTGATTATTGGAGGATGACCAACATGAAAATGCACATGGTATCAGCTGATTATTGGAGGATGACCAACATGAAAATGCACAAGGTATCAGCTGAAAATGCACATGGTATCAGCTGATTATTGGAGGATGACCAACATGAAAATGCACAAGGTATCAGCTGAAAATGCACATGGTATCAGCTGATTATTGGAGGATGACCAACATGAAAATGCACAAGGTATCAGCTGAAAATGCACATGGTATCAGCTGATTATTGGAGGATGACCAACATGAAAATGCACAAGGTATCAGCTGATTATTGGAGGATGACCAACATGAAAATGCACATGGTATCAGCTGATTATTGGAGGATGACCAACATGAAAATGCACATAGTATCAGCTGATTATTGGAGGATGACCAACATGAAAATGCACATGGTATCAGCTGATTATTGGAGGATGACCAACATGAAAATGCACATGGTATCAGCTGATTATTGGAGGATGACCAACATGAAAATGTACATGGTATCAGCTGATTATTGGAGGGCACATGACAAATAAGCTAACAGATGATCATTTGGGGTCGTATGACAAACTTGACCTTAGATAATCATTTGAGGACGCGTGATATACCTGATTTAAGATGAGCACTTAAGCATTGCTGAATACAAAGGAGTTGTCGAAAAGCATGTGACATGTTTGATACCAGCAAGTAATTGACTGATGAATGAAATATATGAAAACATTCAATGGAGGACGCATGACAAATACAAATATTAGGACATAGCATTGACAATTATTTAAGATAAACCTCATATATGATGTAGGACCATTCTTTAAAATTTGATGAAATATATTGAACAGTTTAGCATTGAACAATGCAGGTTATACCTAAGATCAGTAATCATAGAACAATGTAGATCATAGAACAATGTAGGTTATACCTAACATCAGTAATCATAGGACAATGTAGGTTATACCTAACATCAGTAATCATAGGACAATGTAGGTTATACCTAACATCAGTAATCATAGGACAATGTAGGTTATACCTAACATCAGTAATCATAGGACAATGTAGGTTTTACCTAACATCAGTTATCATAGGACAATGTAGGTTATACCTAACATCAGTAATCATAGGACAATGTAGGTTATACCTAATATCAGTAATCATAGGACAATACAGGTTATACCTAACATCAGTTATCATAGAACAATGTAGGTTATACCTAACATCAGTAATCATAGGAAGGCGTAAAACATGTATTCCTTTACATTTTCTTTATGAAATTTATGGATTTTATTGTCCTATCTAGTCATTGGAGGACATACTACGTACTTGGAAACATAAATAATAAGTTTAAGTATATTAGTTCTATATTCAGACGGGAAACATGATCACAATGTATTAAAATATATAATATACATTGTCATCTGATGACGATGGCGCCACTAACAGACTTCATTTTCTAGTGTCAGTCCATTTCCCCGTCGTTCATCCCGGTTGACCTATGTAGCATAAACTGTTTTCTGCTCTTTGGTCGGGTTTTTGTCTTTTTGACACATTCCCCATTTCCATTCTCAATTTTACACATTATATTGCGAGCTAATTTGTTCTCGTCCTGAAATATTAGCAACCGAACTTTAAGCTAGGGACCAGCTACTGCCTTGTTATTTCAAACTTATTTCTCTTTGCTGTTTTGATAAAGTGTTCATTTAACTCTATATACATGGCTTGAATGATGTACGTTTTCTACTGAAGCCAAAATTATTCATTTTTAAATTCTCTACATGTATATCTACATGTATTTCTCTATATCTACATGGATTTCTCTATCGTTTAATGTATGTGTATTCTTCTGTTTATCGCTTTTTATGATTTTGGTTTCATTTCTTTTTCGTTTTTCTAATTAGTTAAATTGTTTGTGTTTGTTTGAATCATTGTTTTTGTTTAATCTTTTTTAATTCAAAGATCACTAATATAGTAAGCCAGCATCAGTTATACAATGTAATATATATGTTATTTATAAACCGAAAGATTTTAGCCTTGATAAATTGATTTGATAACGATTAAACACAGATGTGACATTGTTACAAGTTTACATTAAAGTAAATCTTTTATTGTAAGTCAGGGTTTATAGTAAAAATGACAGGACAGTATGGGGATATGTTTAAATCGACTGACTTACAAATCTTTAGATGACGACACCATATTGTCTGCTAGAATTCCAGTCATCAAACTTATGGTAAAGTAAATTTTCTGTAATCCAATGTAATATTTGGATATTATATACATATGAGTTGATGTGATTATGTCAATATGAATAATTTTTTACTGTTATAAAATCTGTCGATTGTATTTTTAGATAATATGGCGTCGATATGTGTAAAATCTTAATGATACTTTGTAGTCTTTATATTTTGGAAAGTATTAAACAATCTATCATAAATTACAATGCATATATTTTCACGTTATTTTCTTTCCAAGTTTAAAAGTTCACTGCAAATTTCGGCCATTACCAGTTGGAATGTGTTTGGATGCACATCCGTGTACCTTGTATCTTTCTTTGTAGATACAAAGTAGTTTTGTTAAATATTTCAAACTGATTTTAAGTTGTTGATGATAGTTTTTCAAATAAAACGTGGTTTTGTGTTCATTTCATACGTTGGATTTTTATGCAATGTTTTGTGTTTGTTACGTAACTAACCAGTAGCTTGTTTAGGATAGCTAAATCCGTTAAAGGTAAATTGTCTAAACTTAGTTTAAAGGCAATTACATGATTTGTAAATTAAAGATTTAAATAAAGAAGTACAAATATGTTAATCATGCCAACACCGGTTGATTTGTATCCGGGTGGGTAGTACTCTTCTTGACTAAAATCCATACAACAACGGAATCAAACAAGAAATGTTTTCGTACATAGATAATGAAGATTGCTAACACTTTAATTTCCAGGAAATTACTCATTTGTGAAGAAATCAAGGTCGGTTAATCCCTGATATCTTATATTAGTATCTGTTTTATCATACAGCTAATCACTACAATTACATTGGTTATTCCAGGATGTTCATCTGTCAAAGGAGTCAAGGACAGTTCAGCCAAGGTCTTCTACAACATCTCGAGGCAGCATCTCTACAATGTCACGTGGTAGTGTTAGAAGCGATCCCTTTACAGAAGACACAAGTAGTATTAGTGCGCGTAGTGACACTAGTGTTGATAGCTTTGTTTTTGACCCGTCTGTTGGTAAATCATATTTCACTTATTTTAATTTCTACAATAATTTCAAAGGATATATTAAACCCATAATATTTAATCGATGATATTTATACCTGCAAACAAAATGATAATATGAACAAACACAGTAATTCAATGACTTTTTGACAATTTTTTTTTTATTTGGTGTTGCTGTTTAGAACCCTTTTTTCAGTTTTCTTTTTGTGTGTGAATATTAACCTGTAAATGTACAAATGAAGAATAGTGAGTAACATATCTTGTTTTTTAGGTGTTATTCGACCTGATTTATATCCAAGGAAAGATGCAGTTTTACAGCAGTCTTCGCTAGATCAATGTCAAGGTCGACTACACATAAGACTTAAATATGACTTTAGAACTTCAGATGTCGTTATACATTTAATTGAAGGTAAATGTTATTTTGATTATTTGAAAGAAAGAAAAATAAGATATTAAAGCGTCTATGTTTAATAAAAGAATAAGTTGCCTTAAAAATCTACATTCGAGACGTACGTAATATCATATCTATTGTTATGTTTGATGGATACGCAAATAGATTTCTTAGGAACCATTTGTGCTCCTAATATAACTTCAGTTTATGTCATATTTGTATAAGACACAGATTCAATACAAGGGCTTTTAAAGAAGACAAAAAGACAGTCATCTTCATTTAACCTCACTTTCCGCTGTACAGATTTCCATTCAATGTTAGCGACGATGTTGATCGTATCTACTTATATCTCATAAAAGAAAACGCAAAAACAATTGGATATGCTTCATACTTTGACTTAAACATCGACAATAAAGAACGATTGAAAACTCACATAACCTTAACCAGTAGAAAAGAAAGGGAATTTTGTACATTCGAAACAGCATTTGAGAAGCACCTGCATTTGAAGTTATATAGTATACATGTGGTTGTTTATACAATATTCTTAAGTTCTCAGTGGTAGATACAACACGTTCGTGTTTTCTTCCATGCTTTTCTTCTGAGAGAGAGAGTTGCTGCATACAAACAAAATACTGAATTCAGAGTTTTTATTGTAAGTGATTATGATATTTTATGTACGGACGTCATCATGAATAAGTACTACGGTATATGAATGTGTGGCACAGTTTAAAACCGATATCTTTTGCTCCTGTCGTTTGTTGTCCGCCATCATAAATTGATAATTGTTGTGCCACTCGAAGACCGAAATCGATGTGTGCATACGCATGTTCACAAGGCAAAATATAAGAAAAAAAAATCTGTGATGTACAGATCCAATGTGAAGAGTTGCTGTTTAATGTTATACTGAACCAGAATCCGTTTCATTCATCATTTATGTATCACATAAGACTTGAATGTACAACTTATGACCCGCCTACTTGAAGAGTTTTGTAATTTTTTGTGTAGTGCACTAAGTGGACGATGTTTGTTTTTTGAGCTTTTTTATCTTTTGTCGTGTTTATGTTCTGCCTGTCTACGACTTGTGGTACAAACTGCGTCCTTGGTATGTTCTTACCTTTTATAAAAGGTTTATCAGTAGGAATTTCCAAATTTTTCAACATTCTTTTTGCAATTTCATGTCAGTTTTGACCATGAAATTCCGTTGAAATAAATTAACACATTTGTAGAACATAATAGTCATGGATGCCTAATTATTTTTCAGCTCAGGAACTTTGTTTGCCAGAATCACGAGAAGCGGAAGTAAGCTTCGGAGATCCTTACGTAAGAATCTGCATGTCACCGGAAGTTGATGAACGAATCCGTCAATCATCTGTCAAGAGAAAGACTTGCAATCCGTTCTTTAATGAATATTTCAAATTCCCTGTGACATTTGATGATGTTCGGGATAAACAAATTGTTTTTCTTATCTACGATTACGACAAATTTTCAAGACATAAATGTATAGGAGAGGTACAAGTTGATCTAGGGAAAATAGACGTCAGCAACAGTGTTGAAATGTGGTGCGACATTCAAAAATATCAAAAGGTAATTCTATTATTTAAGCATTCTTCCTGTTCAAAAATAGCTTCTCGCCCACGAGTTAATGATAATTAACAATAGCTCTAACTATCAAATATTGGCTCAGTTTATATTGAGGAAAATATTTTTTATGCATAGTTTACGTCAGAATTCGTTGTAACACAAAAGTGTCAAGGGAAACTTTATAAGTTAATAAAAGTTTTATTTTCTATAAGCAGGACATGCGTTTCCGGAATAGAATTTCATAAGGTATTAATGACTTAAGCCAAAAGATGTCTACACCAAAAAAAAAAAAAAAAAAAAAGAAAAAAACCTTGCAAAGCATCAAATTAAAACGGGTCTAATCAGAAACGATAAAACCGACTGATGTCATCTTTGCCGATACAATTCGCAACGTTTCTTAATAGTGTATAATTTTGGGTGGTATTTAGGATTCGTTGTAATACGAAAGTGTCAAGGGAAACTTTATCATTTCAGGTGTGTTTTATATATATCTATATAAATACACAGTTTTGGCTGCTGCATCCTCATTCTGTCACGTTAAGCAAGTATGTCTCTCTGGGTAGCTCAAACAAATTTTAACGGAACTATAAAGAAGTGTCAAACAAGTGAGAAATTTAACTAGGTATAAAACCAGGTTTAACCAAATTTTTCTTCGGAAAATGCCTGTATGCAATCTGAATAAACAGTCGCTCCGTTTGTTTATATAGTCGAGCGTTTGGTTTTGTCAGTTTTAATGGTCTTCTCCCGTTTTGAACTTACATAGGAGTTCAGTATGTTTGTTATTACATTTGTCCCAATGTTTTACGACTTTTCAATCTAAGAATTATATGTTATTCTTATGAACATTTCAGTATTCGTGATATGAAAATTATCTGTGAATGCCTATATTGTCCTTTTGACGCCGTTGTCACTATAAATAACAATACTCATTGATTTCTACTAAAAGAAAATAGCAGATGATCACATGGATTTTATTTTACTAAAACAAAATGTTTATAGCGATAGCTTCTCTTTTTTTAAACAAATCTATACAAAATGTGATTTAAGTGTTAAGAATTTTTTTCGCCACTTTTTACGTACATCATTTTTTTTAGGTATATTTCACCAACTTTTATTGATTGTTCATGTATCTGTAAAAGTATAAATGCGATATGTTCAATATTTTGACATTCAGATGCCATTTTACTAGTTATTTTCTTTTGTTTTGATGTAATTATTCTACGAATTGGTTATCACTATGAATAGCTAAACATCAAAATCAAGTACGTGATCATTTGATTTTTATAGCAACATATTTTTTAGAAAAAGAAACTTTTAACTGTTGTTTTTTAATTGTAATGAAACGTACAAAACAACGTACGCATAATCCTGATTTTTGCAAAATTTGAATAAAAATCCATTGAATTGTAATGTATCATCTAAAATTATTTGGATGGAACCATCTGGTATTATAATTGTTTACAAATTGTTTAGAAAGTATTTTTTAACATTGAGCAATACCAAACCTTCGATTATTATATTCGCCTCCCTCAAATTATAGGACTATGAATTTATAGGGAAAAGTTGAAGACCTAACACATTCGCCTGTTTAACCTGAAATGTATATCACAGACTTTCTATACTTTTAAATCTTATATGATCAAAATGTATGTCTCAAATCATCTGTATTTTTACCGAATATCTCTATCGAATAGGTTGTTTTTTATGAAATCAATATTTGTTATAATTGCTTTCTAGCGATATCCGGTCATTTGGCATCATGTAAACACTCTAATCCTCGGAAGGTCGATAAAAGATAATCTAAAACTAACATTACTTTGATAAACAACTCTATTACTGTAATCTCATTTGACATTTACAAACACAGTTCTATAAATAGGTTTTCGCCATCACTTCCGGACACGTCAGAAACAGGAAGTAAGGATACTTCCGGCGATAAATCCTACCATTTATATTGTGTGTATAATCACTTGATAACGAAGTGTTGTTTTCAGTTTCAAGAGATTAATGTGGTATTAATTTCTTAGAAAGTTTTATTGCTTGCAATATCGTATTAGTAATGTTTTTTACGCTGCACTGTGTAATGGAAGTGAAAATACACCAGTAACATGTGTAAATAGCTAACTGGTGGTAACATGTAATTCATAAACGTTATAGTTCTAAAAACAGAAATAAGGAGATGTGCATGGTTAGATTGCAAATGAATAAACTGTCCACCAGTGACTAACGGACGTGGATGTTTGGAACTACTGGTCATAGTACGGTTACCACAACTGGCAAAATCTTTTAGGCTATAAAAGGCTCGTGATAACAAAATATAACATTATTCAAAAGAAAAGAGGATTAACTTTACTAAGAATAAGTGCTTAAGCCTAACACAAATAGGTCTGCTGTAATTCTTTATTTATGACTGTCACTTTACGACATATGATGTTGATTTAATACGATGTTTGCTGAGACATTTAAGGATTATCGACAACGAGTAAAAGGGGGAGTTCACCTTTTAGTACGCGTTAACAATAGAAAAACACGCTGTGTATTACAGTGTACTAAATGATTAAGAAATGGATCTATAGCTAAATAAATCTATACTCAGAAATATGATGTTCAATTAACAATAAAAATATAAACCATTGATGATATATCTTTTTCGAAAAATTGTTAAATAACAAGTATTCAACCAATTATTTGTTTTCACTTTTACTGAATTTGTTAAAATGTGAGATACAAATAAAATGTCTACTTAGACTGATACTGTTCATCGAGTTAATTGTTAAATCCTCGGGACGAAATGTAGGTAAAATAAACAAATATAGACTTGGACACTGAATCTAACCCTTATCCTTTATCTTTTGAATAGTGCTATATTGAATCTAACCCTTATCCTATAAATAGTGCTATATTGAATTTAACCCTTATCCTATAAATAGTGCTATATTGAATCTAACCCTTATCCTATAAATAGTGCTATATTGAATCTAACCCTTATCCTATATCTTTTGAATAGTGCTATATTGAATCTAACCCTTATCTTTTATCTTTTAGTGGATTAAGTTATCTTATTGGCAATCACACCCAATCACTTTCTTGTATCGATGCATTCACCGAGAACTGGCTTGTCCATCAACAGAGGTTCTTTCTGCATTCGAGGCAATACTATACAGTTTACCGATATTCAATTTTTGTAAATTCATTTAAAAATACAGATCAATAAAAACAAAATAAAAATATAAGGAATCACATGATAACCAAACTGAACGAGCTGGATGCTTCAAAAAGATATGTGTCTACTGCTATCCATGCAGAGACGTTTATCATGTTGTTACATATGTGTCTAGTGCTATCCATGCAGAGACGTTTATCATGTTGTTTCAGATGTGTCTAGTGCTATCCATGCAGAGACGTTTATCGTGTTGTTACATATGTGTCTAGTGCTATCCATGCAGAGACGTGTATCATGTTGTTTCATATGTGTCTAGTGCTATCCATGCAGAGACGTTTATCATGTTGTTACAAATTACAAGATATGTGTCTAGTACTATCCGTGCAAAGACGTTTATCATGTTGTTACAAACAACAAGATATGTGTCAAGTGCTATCCGTGCAGAGACGTTTATCATGTTGTTACAAACAATACGATATGTGTCTAGTGCTATCCATATGCAGAGACGTTTATCATGTTGTTACATATGTGTCTAGTACTATCCATGCAGAGACGTTTATCATGTTGTTACAAATAATATTTGATATACGCAAGCCAAGTCTGTCTTGACGAGTGTTAACAAAGAACCGCAAAGTAAACTTGAGGACATATAAATAAATGCAAACACAGATGACATTCTTAATGGAAATCAGTTTAAATCTCCTGATAAAAAGGCAAACTGAAACCTTGGAAACATCGTTAGTTTTAACAATTCCTATCAGACAAGTTAATAATTATAAAATGTCGCCATTGGAGGATTCCGTCGCTAAAAACAGCTGCACAACAAAATATTGTCAGATATTTAATTACGTTCGCTTGATTAAACGAGCAATGTAATAAACAATTTCATTAGACAATTCCCTACTTTATTGCTAACTTTGTCAGATTCTCTATACAGAGTATTATCGGACACAAACTTACCATACACTTGTCAAACTTGGTAGTAATTAAATTACAAGAAAGCTATAATACTTAAAATGCTCTTCACAATTTGTATGTACTGGACATCTTTTAAGGACAGATTATCACTATTACTTTATTTTACTGTGTTGAAAATGAACGTAGCTTTCAGGTTTTGACATACTTTCAAATATATTAATAAAATATGAAAGTATAGATCACTGGGGCAGTGCGGCTCAACGACCAAAAATAGTTTCAATAAGTTTCTACGAATGTGTAAAACATGAAAAAAAGCCAATAAGACATGTCATCAAGATACTTCTAGGAACAACAGGTGCAATCTAAATCCATTAGTATAAGATAGAGAGACTACAAAAATTGTCAAATAGATACATAAAAAACAACAGTTCACAAGACATCATACAGGTAACTACTGCAGTAAACAAGGCTAAATCAGAGACGGTGAACACAGTAGCTGTGGAGGTTAATAGCAGTTAGTAGCTGTGGAGGTTAATAGCAGTTAGTAGCTGTGGAGGTTAATAGCAGTTAGTAGCTGTGGAGGTTAACAGCAGTTAGTAGCTGTGGAGGTTAATAGCAGTTTGTACCAAGTGGTATATGTTGTGGTGATATTAAGTTAACATTCGGTGATAAGTCGCGGCCGGTGATGGCAACGACAAATGTTAAGTTTTGTTGTTATTTCTGACATTTATATTAAAGTACAAACATCAGTTTCAAAGATAAGAAATGACAGATGCACTTGTCTTTCGAGAAACACTTCAAAATACTCAAGAGTTGGAACGATGTCAAGAAATTCTAAACTATCTTCAAAATTCGATACCATCTACAAATTGGGATTCTTGTTCTTAGGCATAACTTTAATTACATCATTATTTTTGCCTCCTACACACATCAGTGGGAATCTAAATTTTTTTTGTTATATATACAAACGGCTAAAACCAGACAATGCTTCCAGCTTTATTATTCAAGTGCTATATATTGGAATGTTTTTGATATCTTATCTAGACTCGGCTGTCAGCAAATGACCAAAACATTGTTTTGTTCAATTTGTTAACAGTTGAACCAATTCAACAAACAAAGAGGTGTTCAGCAAAAATGAATTCAATATTTTAACTTTACGATTTTATAATTGGGTGTATAGAAAGTGCCTCTAAATACAATTTTTATTTTTGCAACACTTTACGAACTCCTTATTGTAGAGTGCTCAGTGTCGAAAAATGCCTCTTGTTAACGAGATTAATTTAACGGAATAACACACGGCTAAATTCATTTGTAAAATTAATTATAAATCGTCGTAACTTCACGTGGTCACGGTTTTTATAATTTCGTTTTTACAGGGTACCACCAGATACCGTATTGTACGGGGTATCTTTAACAAAAAAATAAATCTTTTGCTTAACTTTTTTAGTGGTCGAAATAGAACTTAGAATAAAATAATATATTAAATATATCATATTACAAATGCGGAAATATTGAGGTATGTTTTGTATATGTATTTCAGCATTTTGATAAGACTAAACTGTTACCAGAAATTTACCACATTTTCATCGAAAGCAAAATTATTAGATGTATCATGACATGATTTTTTAGTCTGATCAAAGCAATGCTATACAGTTCACGTGTGTGCCAAATTTCGTATGTGTAATAGTCGTTGTGAAGAAATAAGCAATTAAAACAGAAAATAAGGCAACATTTTTCCATTGATTTATCACAGATTATCTCGTGACGTTAATCATTTTTCCATTGATTTATCACGGATTATCACGTGACGTTAATCATTTTGTTGCTTTCACTATTATGTCATTAAGAAGATTATTGTTCTGCAATCTGCAAAACCTCAGCAAAACTCAAAAGATGAATATTGAGTCACTGACGAGAGATTTCTGTTACAAAGTACACACCCGTCGAATAAAACTTCTAAAAAATTTAGAAATCAAGTGAAACTAAAGTGAATTGTGTGAATTCTAGGAGAGGATTTCATAGACAACGAATTTCTAGTATTTTATGTACTTAATCGCCCTCCACATATGTAAGAATATATATGATAAATAAGTTTGTTTTAGATTTTAAAATGTCTTAAACTGTTTTTAAAAATTAAGAATTTTACCCTCTAAATTGTTCGTGTAAATATTTTCTTTTACCCAATAAAGGGTGTTCCAAAGATAGGAAGCTTATACATAAGAAAGAAGAACAGTTGTCTCTCGCTTCAGTTCTTATTGTTGCCTGTTGTATGGTGGATTTATTTGTTCTAAACGGTCAGTTAGGTTTGTAGAAAGTTGTTTTAAACGGTCAGTTAGATTTGTAGTAAGTTGTTTTAAACGGTCAGTTATATAATTAGATTTGTAGAAAGTTGTTTTAAACGTTCAGTTAGATTTGTAGAAAGTTGTTATAAACGGTCAGTTAGATTTGTAGAAAGTTGTTTTAGATTTGTAGAAAGTGGTTTTAGATTTGTAGAAAGTTGTTTTAAACGGTCAGTTAGATTTGTAGAAAGTTGTTTTAGATTTGAAGAAAATTTTTTAAACGGTCAGTTAGATTTGTAGAAAGTTGATTTTAACGGTCAGTTAGATGTGTAAAAAGTTGTTTTAAACGGTCAGATAGATTTGTAGAAAGTTATTTTTAACTGTCAGTTAGATTTGTAGAAAGTTGTTTTAGATTTGTAGAAAGTTGTTTTAGATTTGTAGGAAGTTGTTTTAAACGGTCAGTTAGATTTGTAGAAAGTTGTTTTAGATTTGAAGAAAATTGTTATAAACGGTCAGTTAGATTTGTAGAAAGTTATTTTTAACGGTCAGTTAGATTTGTAGAAAGTTGATTTTAACGGTCAGTTAGATGTGTAAAAAGTTATTTTAAACGGTCAGATAGATTTGTAGAAAGTTATTTTTAACTGTCAGTTAGATTATAAGAAAGTTGATTAAAACGGTCAGTTAGATTTGTAGAAAGTTGTTTTAAACGGTCAGTTAGATTTGTAGAAAGTTATTTTATATGGTCAGTAAGATTTGTAGAAAGTTATTTTAAACGGTCATTTAGATTTGTAGAAAGTTGTTTTAAACGGTCAGTTAGATTTGTAGAAAGAGTTTTTCAATTTGTAGAAAGTTGTTTTAAACAATCAGTTAGATTTGTAGAAAGTTGCTGTAAACGGTTAGTTAGATTTGTAGAAAGTTGTTTTAAACGGTCAGTTAGATTCGTAGAAAGTAGTTTTAAACGGTCAGTTAGATTCGAAGAAAGTAGCTTTAAACGGTCAGTTAGATTTGTCGAAAGTTAATTTAAACGACCAGTTAGATTTGTAGAAAGTTGTTATAAACGGTCAGTTAGATTTGTAGAAAGTTGTTTTGAACGATGAGTTAGATTGGTAGAAAGTTGTTTTAAACGGTCAGTAAGATCTGTAGAAAGTTTTTTCAAACAGTCAGTTAGATATGTAGAAAATTGTTTTAAACGGTCAGTTAGATTTGTAGAAAGTTGTTTTAAACGGTCAGTTAGACTTGAAGTGAGTTGTTTTGAACGGTCAGTTAGATTTGTAGAAAGTTATTTTAAACGGTCAGTTAGATTTGTAGAAAGATATTTTAAACGGTCAGTTAGATTTGTACAAAAATTGTTTTAAACGGCCATTTAGATTTGTCATGAGTAAGTTGTTTTAAACGGTCAGTTAGATATGTAGTAAGTTATTTTAACCGGTCAGATAGATTTGTAGTAAATTGTTTTAAACGGCCAGTTAGATATGTAGAAAGTTGTTTTGTTCGGGGGAATATGTTTTGTGTCTGTTTTTTTAAAATCTTGATTTTGGATAAGCGCATACAGAATGTGGCGAGGTCCAACATATTTTTGAACTTTCAACCCTACCCTTACCATGCTTACCTGCAACAGTGGTATATAACAACACAACAATAGACCAAACTGATAAAAACAGTTGGAAATGTCTTCACTCATTATATTTGCATAAATCACAAAAACAACTAACATAAAGACAAAAGACACAAAGTACTGATCTAAAAGTACTCAGAGTTACCGAAAGCTAGCGAAAAGACGTCACCAACAGTCAGAGAAAAGCATGGCCTTGTTCAATGTCAAATCTAAGTTCATAATATCGATAATGTAAGGACCATAACTTATCATAAATCTAAAGCTATACATATATTTAAGATTCAGGAATATGACAGTTGTTTTCTATTAGTTTGATGTGTTTGAGCTTTTGATTGTGCCATTTGATAAGGGACTTTCCGTTTTGAATTTTCCTTGGAGTTGGGTATTTTTGTTATTTTACTGTTTAGTAAAACTTCATGTGTGATCCAGTTCAATTTTGTGACAAAATACATTTTTTTCTATGAAATATTTTTCGAAGTTTGCGGTGAAAGTTTGTTGGTTATTCTATTCGTTTCCTTATTTGACCAACGAAATAGTAAACATGGTAAAGGTAAAATGACATTTGCACTATAATCGATCGCTTAAGATTACATACTACATATGTAGCAAGTTGTAAATTCAGAAAACTTATTCATTGTTGTTATTGGCACAGTGCTTTTATGTATTTTCAAATTGAGTATTCATAGTGACGAGGTTAGAATGGAGATGTACTGATGTCAAAGCGATCATAATCTGATTAATTAAGTTTCGATATGATGTTGTTTTTGCACATTCAGTTTATTTTGTGGGAAGAGGGGATTTACTGTCAGCTATTATATATTAACCTGTTGTACATTTATAGGTTACAGGTGAAAGTGGAGATTTACTGTTGTCACTTGGATATTTACCTGTTGTACATTTATAGTTTACAGGTGAAAGTGGAGATTAACTGTTGTCACTTGGATATTTACCAGTTGTATATCTATAGTTTACAGGTGAAAGTGGAGATTTAATGTTGTCACTTGGATTTTTACCTGTTGTATATTTATAGTTTACAGGTGAGAGTGGAGATTTAATGTTGTCACTTGGATATTTACCTATTGTATATTTATAGTTTACAGGTGAAAGTGGAGATTTAATGTTGTCACTTGGATATTTACCTGTTGTATATTTATAGTTTACAGGTGAGAGTGGAGATTGACTGTTGTCACTTGGATATTTACCTGTTGTACATTTATAGTTTACAGGTGAGAGTGGAAATTTACTGTTGTCACTTAGATATTTACCTGTTGTATATTTATAGTTTACAGATAAGAGTGGAGATTTACTGTTGTCACTTAGATATTAACCTGTTGTATATTTATAGTTTACAGGTAAGAGTGGAGATTTAATGTTGTCATTTGGATATTTACCTGTTGTATATTTATAGTTTACAGGTGAAAGTGGAGATTTAATGTTGTCACTTGGATATTTACCTGTTGTATATTTATAGTTTACAGGTAAGAGTGGAGATTTACTGTTGTCACTTAGATATTAACCTGTTGTATATTTATAGTTTACAGGTAAGAGTGGAGATTTACTGTTGTCACTTAGATATTAACCTGTTGTATATTTATAGTTTACAGGTGAGAGTGGAGATTTACTATTGTCACTTAGATATTAACCTGTTGTATATTTATAGTTTACAGGTGAGAGTGGAGATTTACTATTGTCACTTAGATATTAACCTGTTGTATATTTATAGTTTACAGGTAAGAGTGGAGATTTACTGTTGTCACTTAGATATTAACCTGTTGTATATTTATAGTTTACAGGTGAGAGTGGAGATTTACTGTTGTCACTTGGATATTTACCTGCTGCAGAAAGACTAACTATTGTTTTGATGAAAGCCAAAGATCTAAAACTAACAGGAGGTAATACAGACTTCATTGACAATTCTATCAAATTAGGGTCACAGAAATTTATCGATGTTCAGATATCGCAAATCCATTAAAAATATAAACAAAATAAACAAAAACAATCACAAACAAACAAATCATGAGGAAAACGCATAAAATCCAAACCATTGGAGACAGCAGTCGTCAACAGGGAAAACGGCTCATGCTATGCATGAATCGTTCCTACATTTGAATCTTCACTCTGTCACAACAAGAATTAAGACGCTATCGGACATGTACAGATAAGACGATTCTCCTGTGCAATAAATATAAAGATCTACGGCCGTGAAATCATGTCTCTTATAAGTTCACACACGGATACATTCTCTTAGTCAACCAATACAAGATTGTGACCATAAAATTATTGAGAGTTTTTTTCAGTCACTTTCCCGATGCAGTGTTATCCTGCACGATTGGCCAAAGGGTATGCTACTTCTGAGAAATGGGAAGTAATTCAATGATACAAAATTAGTTTTTATATTTCATTGTTTTGAAACTTTATAAGGTATATGCCTCTGTACGGGTTGGTGAAGCGGCACCAAAACGGTATATATATATATATAAATATTTGCGATATTAATCAAGCGATCACATGTGTCTTAGCCTAGGGGACTTTGTTTAGGAGAATATGTAACAACATCATGTTAAAATCAGTTATTTTATATTTAATATCTTTGGTATTTTCTACTATTTGGTATGGTATATCTAATGTAAAGTTTTTACTTTGAGGCGTGCGCCAAATATCAGAGCTCTTAAATGAATCTCTATCAATACTTTCTGATTTTCTACTTTCTCGTTTTTTGTTTTCCTTTGAGTGATATTCAAACTAGAAAACAAACTGACAACGCCATGGCGAAAAAACGAAAAACGACGAAAGACAAACAACAAAATACAAAACACAGACAACATAAAAAACTAAAGACTGAGCAAAACGAACCCCATTAAAAATCGGGGATGATCTCAGATGCTCTTGAAAGACAAGCAGATCCAGCGTGTTGCTCATGTAACCTTGCAGAAATATTTTTTTGTTTCGTCATTATTTTTAACACATTCTGAAGTCTCCGTATTCTCATTGTTATTTTCTATATATATTTTTCTATAAAATGAGCTGATTGTAGTTCTTGTATATATGTGTTTGTTTTATATGGTATCATAGCATTAGGTGCACTTACGTTTATTGTTTGTTTTTTGTACCTTTTGTTATACATATGGATTGATCGATATTAAAAGGAACACGGTATCAACCCGCCATATATTTATGTGTAATATCAAACACGAAAACTCGTCAGTGGTAGTATTAGTGTATAAATCGTCATAGCGTGTGCCATTTGAGGACTGATGTAACTGTGTCATTAGATTATACGTATTTGATATATTTACGATTGAAAATTTGTCTTGATTCGGAGAGACCTAGCCTTTTAAATGTTGTAACAATACTGGTCAATGGTTGAAGACCAATTATTGACCTTTAAACGTCTTTGGTTTTATTTGTCGTTTTGTTGCCTTCTTATTGAAGTTTATCCTGTATCTCTTTTTATTCACATTCTTAATGTACATTTCCCTAACACTTTAACTTTTGTCATTCTTACAGACCCATATATTAGAGTAGCTCTCATTGTGGATGGAAAGAAAATTAAAAGAAAGAAGACATCTGTTAAAAAAGGAACAACTGCTCCTGTGTGGAACGAAGCCCTGTCATTTAATGTGCCTGCTGAAGTTTTGCCTAAAGTTAACCTTGAAATTACTGTTATAGATCATGACCTAATAGTTGGAAAATGCGTACTTGGTTCATCACGTGAAGGTCATGAGGGGAAACATTGGAACGAAATGTTAACGAATCCTCATAAATCAATGGCCATGTGGCAAGCTTTACATAGACAATAACCATTTTTGATAGGCTGAAATTTCAAAATACATTACCTACATTCTAAAGATTATATATTTAGCAACGTGTTCGCTAGTTCGCAAAAAAGGAAATTTGTATCTTTCTTTGTATGGATAATTTATCAGAGGTTATGGTTTGATAAACATAAGGAGATGTAGCTTAATAGCCATTAGGACAACTATCAATAGACTAAATGATAAAAATGTAAATAATCACAAGTCACCTGACATTCGACAATGAACAAAACCCGTTAGGTTCATGAGTGAGGTCTTTTAAACTTCATCTTTAATTTACGGTTATTAAACAGAAACATTGAAAGAGGAAATATTTCAACATGTTCATTTACTGCTGTATAATAGGCTGACATCGATATATAAATGTTCATGACTTGTGGTGGAAATAGAAGACTTCGAGTTTTTGTAAAAATCGCCAACAAAGAGACCATCTTGATTATCAAATTGAACAAACAAACGCATCGAAGTAAAAACTGATAAAGAAACATGTATCGCATGTTTTTTGTATAATGCCAAACAAAAACAAGTCTTGTGTTAAGGTGTTCCTACCTTCAATATTTTCGTTTCTGAAAATATCTATTCTAAATTTTTTATTTAACACTTTTGGTAGTGAAATATTTGAGGTTTCCTACATTACTACATCTGTGTGAAGAAGAACCCTTAACACACACATGTTTTTCCTTGATCAAATGTAACTTATTATTGTATTTTTTTCAGAGATAAACCGCTATTAAGTGTAAGAACGTCATTTATTACGTTCAGTGTTTGTTTGTTATTAAATTTAAAAAAAAACATACGGAGTAAAGAATAACTATTAAAGACGTATGTCTTTGCAAAATTCCGTGACTCGAATTGATCGTTCGTCATAAACCATTTGGTTGTACATTATCTAAAATCAAATCCTCGTTTAAACATGAAGTATCCAGTATACTTACGACTAATTTTTTAACGAGATTAACTGTTGACATTATCATTTATAATCAAGTGTCGTACTTTAGTTTAAACACTGTTCTATCATCTATAAGCTAAATATATTTTAAACGCATTTCATTTACGTCGTGAATTTACCATCTTCAGTTATATACACTTGATGTCAACAGTTTCGCCGATATGATAAAATACATACATGTATGTAAATATGAAATTTATCGGGTTGAAACTGTTATATATTTATATATATACATATTCATTATGTCACAAAAGATAGAAGAAATATTAATATTTGTTCATGTGCCTTCATATTTTAAAGACACAAGTTAGTATTATGACAAAGGGGAAATAACTCGAAAACAATTTTAATCATCTTTATCTGTTATTTATGATATTTCAATTTTAGTTCAGACTGGTGTCACGTAACCAATTCAGTCAAACGTTTCCAGTGTATATCCTCACGTTGGATATTTGCTGTTAATTCATTCCATTACTATTTGAATCTTGTAACAGGTTTTCAGTTATAATTCAAAGTTCATCACCAGGGGCGGGTCCACAATATTGCGTTCGTGGAAGCTGGAAAATAGGCGAAAGGAAATCTGAAGGCCTTTGTCTCTGCAGGTTCAAGGGAAAGGACACTGTGAGTTTATACAAACGGGCGAAGCTTCCCGAAAGCACCTTACATTTCACGATTTGAATTCTATTTTCACTCCAGCAACCCAGCTTTTGCAGTTTTAGGAGGTGGGTGTTTTTGACGAAACTCTCCCGCCCCAGTTCTCTACAACATCACATCATATCACGGTGTTCATTCCATGCCATTATATTTTAGTTATGCAGTTGTTATAACGAAACTTTAACCTTATTTTCAAGTTATGATTAAAAAATCTTTAAACTTTGAGTTTTATCGTTGTTACCTTATTGTTTTTAAGAATGACTGCTTGATTCTCGAAGTTTTTTTTCTAAATATGTTGTTATAATACACCCTTATCATCCGTGTTTAATCAAATGTGTATTGTGTCATGTGAAAAGTTATATTTTAAAGTGAATAATTGATATGTATATATTGAAGAAAGAAGAGTAAATAAAGCTATAATTGTGATGGCATATTTTTATATTTTCTCAAAAATAATACACAATATAGTTCAATACCATAAAACATAAAGAGTATGGGTTATGGGGTGCATGTCAGTAAAACAGCAACCCGATAGGAATACGTTAGCAATAGGTGTATAAAGTGTTGTCGGCACTTTTCGTTCATGAAAAATGAGATAATAAAGTAGATAAATTCAAAATTACAACATCAACTCAGAAATATCAAATTAAAAAAACAAACGTACCGTTTTTAAACGATCTGATAGTTTAATCTTTTCTATGCGAGTTCTGGTCATCGAAAAATTATACCACAGGACTAATAATCTTCACCTTGCAACACCTTTCTGTAGAAATACGGAAGAATACAGGATACTAGAATTGGGAACTGCAATACCATTTGGTTGCGATGACAAAATTAATGGTAAAGTTAAACTTTCTAGTCCTTTCTGTAGCTCGGTGAATGGAACGAATATTTTTAGCTCTGCTCCACGACGTAGACACAGTCTGCAGTTTGTACAGAAGCCGTAAGGTATTCATCACATTCGAACAAACTTTATTCACTAACCCTTTCAGAACTCCATTCTCTGTACAACTTGTGTTTCGATTCCCCTGTTACAAATCCTCAGCCAAACCTATACAAACTTACAGCTGTCAGTTCGGCTATTGTCAGTCACATACTTTTCAGACTGACCACATTAAAAAATATGTAACGGAGATAACATCCGTTCTAAAGCTTTCCTTTACCAACAAAAGTCTCGATGCTATCAACTTTGGTAATATCTTTCATTGTAAAAGAGCTCAATCGAAAATACCATCAAGTGGGAGGCGAAATATACCAATGGGACATTCAAACGCATTAGTCAAAAACAAAAAATAAAACAAAAATACCGAACTCCAAGGTAAATTCAAAAAGGGGAAGTCCATAAAAACTTACATAGAAAAATACTAAAACCGATCGTAAGACAACAGTAAACAAATCAGTCCGTACTTATAATCTGCAATACATATACCAAACCATTTATAACAAAAATGTTCAATTACAAACACGTGTTGCAGAATCTCAATATTGACGACTGCAAGTGTAAAGTCACTTGTGCTAGTTCTCAATTCATATAAAGTCCGGCTTGCCATGTTATTCTGGTGACCGGAACATTGTCTATATCTCTTTTTCTGTGATAAACCAAAAGCCCGTTAGCCCCAAACCGTCAATTAAACTCAAAATAATAATGGATTCAGTCAAGGATTATGTTTGACAATGGGTAAACGCGAAAAGAAGACCCTCTTTCCAAATATTTTAAGGCAGTAAGGTCGCTGATACAAATTAAAATTTAAACACTGAATGGATATATGAATGCACATGCTACATTAATCTTAAACGTGTCCTACTTTCATGACAAATGCTGTTGTGGTCCTCGCAGAAAAACCCCAAACAACATAGTTTTTGTGTGCAAATTACATCACTTCAAATGCATATTGACCACATATACCACAACAAAACTTACACCTGACATCATCCCCAGTTTTTGGTGGGGTTCGTGTTGCTCAGTCTTTAGTTTTCTATGTTGTGTTTTGTGTACTATTGTTTGTCGGTTTGTCTGTTGGTCTTTTTCTTTTTTAACCATGGCGTTGTCAGTTTATTTTTCGACTTATGAGTTTGAATGTCCCTTTGGTATCTTTCGCCTCTCTTTTACACAGGGGAAATCCCAAATAAACAACATTTCAACGAGTGTTTCAACATATTTATATATGGAATATTATGATGGTGTTTATTCAACCAGTGGTGTCAATCAGAAGTAAACTGTGAAAAAGCACCTCCCAAATCTTTTATCACAATCTATATATTTTTTTATGTTTCTACGATCTACACTTTTAATCCCTATGCTTAATTGAAAGATCGAATACATTCATACATTCATAAAACATACTTAGTAACATACCATATCTTCCTATTTTTATATTAGTAAACATGAATACAAATTCCTTTTGTTACGTCATGAACAATCTTTCTTTGTGAAGAACCACACTATTCCAAAAACAACTTCACCAATCATATATAATAAAATTGCTGGACATTTTGTTGAGTTTGATGGCTTGATTTTTCCACTTACAGTCGGTATTCAAAAGGATATGTATTGACCACTCCTACTGGCCGACTTGTTTTGTACTCATAGAAGTACATTCGTACAGAATCTTCTTAAAAAGAAAAAGAAAAATAAATGTCGTTAAGTTCCTTTATTTTACTTTCAGATATATTGTAGGTGTGCTGTCACGCAGTAAAGGAATCGCATGAACTCAAAACGTGCGTCGACAGAGTAAGCGTCTCTTGCTACGCATGCATCACCTGCACTGCGAATCCTCACTTAGTCAAAATGGGTCACTCCTGCAAACCATTAAGTTGAAGTTGGTGTTAACGTTTCATACGAAAGTAATAATTATAAGATACCAGTTATAAATGAATTGGAACTTAAAATCGATTATACATTGCAAATGTGATATTATTAATTTTGTTATTATTTTCAATTGTTTAAATATATTTTTTCTAGGTTATAATGGTTAATATAGTATTAATAGTAAATGAAAATATAATTTGAGATCTTGACTAATGTTTTTATAAAATTAATTGTTTATTTAAAAAAAAGTATCTTTATAAGGGCTATTAATGTTTCATATCTGCTAACTTTTTTTTTAACCCAATGCCAAAAAATACTAAAGAAACAGTGACTATCACAGAGATGCCATCAGACCAACTTCACTAAAGGACAATGAAAAAATAAAGATGATGGTAAAAAAACAACCATAGATAAAATTTCTAGCATATTTACATGTAAACAAGTTCTGACATATTTTTATGTTTATAATTTTTGAAACAATATCCTTAATGTAAAACATATTTCAATGTCAAAACAACAAACGACCAACGGATCGGACAAAAATTACACTAATTAAAATTATCGTGATAGTTACATAGATATAATTACTTTTCGTGGACATCATCAGGAATTTCCTTGACTTGTTTTTGCAGATGATATGTTATCATGTGATACGTCCTCAGTCATGTGATTTACACGTGAAATACATTAACATAATTTTTTAAAATGGATATCTATGTTGTATTTTTATGATAATTTAAAAACATATCTAAATTGTATTGTCTAATTATCTTTTCATTTTATTAATGTTTTGATCGTGTGGTCTGAAGAATACATAAAAGGGATAAAAGGAATTGTCAAAAATACCATATAGTACAACATCAACCACCAACACAAGACTCCTCGAGAAAACCAGCCATACATGCACAGACAAACACAAACGAACAAAACATACTACTCCGAATGTGCTCGCTAACACAGTAAGATATTACAATAGTTAGTTGAATACGGCCGATCATGCGCAAAACATAGAATCAACAGTCTAATTAAGTTTCATGTTTAAATTTAGAATTTTCATTAGGGACATTAAAATAAGGAGTCATCATGGACGAACTGACTATGTCTTAAAAGAGGGACGAAAGATACCAGAGGGACAGTCAAACTCATAGATCGAAAACAAACTGACAACGCCATGGCCAAAAATAAAAAGACAATCAGACAAATAATAGTACAGATGACACAACATAGAAAACCAAAGACTAAGCAACACGAACCCACCAAAAACTGGGGGTGATCTCAGGTGCTCCGGAAGGGTAAGCAGATCCTGCTCCTCATGTGGCACCCGTCGTGTTGCTTATGTTATTACAAATCCGGTAAATAGTCTAATTCGGTAAGTTACATTCGTGAAAAGGGAGGGTATTGTAGTTACGACATAAGGAACATATCCGATATAATTTGTGAAACGGTTATTCCATAACGGTCAACCAACTCGTGATGGCGTCCGTAAAATTTACGAAGGGATGACTTCAACTTCACCATTTGGAACTCTTGGTTTAAAAGCTTCCTTGTGAGCAGCAATCCTCTATCAAGGAAATCATGATAGGAAACACAAGCCCGGGAATATCGTATCAATTGGGAGATATATACTTCGTATGCAGGCGCTGCTGGAATGTTGCTACATAGAAATGGAAAGTTCACAATTGGGAAGTTGAAATCATCTCTTTTGTCGTAAAGTTTTGTTTTCAACCGACCTTCATTGTCAATTTCTAGATGTACATTTGTAAGTCAAGATATGAGGCAGACGTAACTGTATCTGTAGTATCCTTTATCTCTAGTTCGATGGGATAGATTCGTTCAACATAGTCACCAAATTTTGTATTATTTAGTGAGAGAACATCATCTATATAGCGGAACGTAGAGTTAAAGGATATTGCTAACTTCTTATCTTTCTTCCTAAGAAGTTCCTGTATGAAATCAGCCTCATAATAATAAAGAAACAAGTCGGCAAGAAGAGGGGCACAATTGGTTCCCATTGGAATTCCGACAGTCTGTTGAAAAATTACTGTATACATAAACTCATCATAGATACCGACACTATTACACACACCTCCTAAGTGCTAGCTTCGACAGTAAGCTAGTTCTAGTTAAGGGGCTACACTTGGTAGTTCAAAACTGCCACTCATAAAAAAAATCAGAAACAGTTTTTGGGAAGTCTCAGTATATTATTAGATTAAAATTGATAGTTTTTGTGAGAGGACAATATTTATTTAAAATCGTCTGACCATTGGAAGATAGAATACTCTTAATTGAGTTAGCGAGTCCATTAACCCTGTAGTATTTGCTCTTGAAGAATGTAAGGAATTTTTCGAGTTTGAATACATAAAGATGTGTTAGTTCAAAAAACCGACAGTACAATAAATACGAAATACAGATCTACTTAAATTACTGTATAAGATTAATGAAAGTGTCAAAGGTAGTTAGAAACGTTGTTCAATTGACTATGAAATTTTATGTCTGTGAATACATTATTAAGAGAACAGAATGTCGTATGCGCGTTTTTTGAATTCTTACGGGTGTTAATAAGTCCTGTATATGTTCAAACATATTATAGTTGTCATAAACGTATCTGTACAAACAT